GGAACAAAGCGAGGGCGGGGGGCAGGTGGGGGCAGCGGGGCACGGAGAGCAGCCAGGAGCCCTCCCAACCCCCTCCCCGTCTCCCCCTTCCCCAAGGCCTGGGGGTCACAGGAGGCTTTGCCCCCCTCCCCTCCCTTACGCCACAGCTGAGGCCGTGCAGCTCATTGCATTGGTGCCAGGCAGCAGCGGGATGGGGGCCACGCTCCCCCCTGCCCTGGGCAGCAGCCAAAAGTCCAGAGCCGAAAAGTAGTGGTGATTGATGGCAGCGTTTGCCGGGTAAGCGCACCCCGTGGTCCAATCCTCCCACCTTCCCCAATTCCTCCCCTGTCCCTATTCAGAGATCATGTTGTCTCATGTTGGTCCCAGAGGCACCATTAATTAAAAATACATCCAATTAAATGGCAGGTGAAAGCGTGCGGGCGCGGGTCCTCCCCCTCGGCTCAGCTGTGCGGCTTTGCGGGGGGGGGGGAGGAGAGAGGGGGGAGCGGGGCAGGGTGCTGCGCCCGGCGCCTGCGTGGCCCCAACGTCCCCAAAGCCACCGGCTGTGCCCCATTTGGGAGGTGGGGATGGGGTGAGGGCAGGGAGGGGAACAGCCCCAGCGCCATGGGGGGGCATGGGGACACAGGGATACGGGAAGAGAGGGGTGCAGGGATGCGGGGATACTGGGACACGGGGACGTGGGGATGCAGAGCGCAGGGGTGTGAGGATGCGGGACGGAAGGACACGGAGACGTGGGGTGCAGAACACGAGGATGGAGGGATGCAGAACACAGGGATGCGGGATGCAGAGCCCCAGCTGCGCGCTGCCGCCTTCATCGCACCGCAGACCCCCCCCGGCTCAGCCCCACCGCTGCCCCGGCGGTTCCCCTTCTCCCTTCCATCCCCCCCCCGTGGTGGCAGCGCGGGGTCGGGCCCAGCACGGCGGCGGTGGTGGCCGTGGGGACAGCGACATCTGGTGACAACCACGCGGGACACGCACACCCGTGGCGCGCACAGACGCGGAGTGAACGCGTGGCTTTGTGCGGGCTCACACGTGTACACGAGCGTGTGTACACATGGACACACAGCCACGCAGGATGCGCAGCCATGCAGTGAGCACACGCGTGCACACCCATGCAGGATGCACGCACACACACACACACACACACACACACACACACGTGTGCACAGCCCTGGCCGTGCCACGGCCCCAGCGCTGGAGATTTACAGCCCTGAGCCATTTGGCACAGCAGCTGCTGCGAGGGAAGTTGGATGCAAAAAATAAATTAAATGGAAGGAAACACTCTGGTCACCTTGGGCCGGGCCGGGTGCGTGCAGGAGCTGGGATTTAATGCTGGGCTTTGGGCTGCAATACGGACCGGGTTTCCTCGGGGGAAGTGGGCACGTCGGGATGGTCATAAGGGCTTTGCTCTTCGGGTTTGGGGCTACGAGGGCATCCTTACGCTGCGCCCGGGTGATGCCCCGGGCAGGGGATGGATGAGGGTGGAAGGATGGATACCCCGTCTGCCCCTGTTTGTGAATGGAGGGGATGGCGGCAGGGCACCCCATCCCGGCGGGGCTGTTGGCACGCTCGCTGCCTCCCCCCCAGGCAGAGCACGGCGCTGCCAGGCCTCCCCCGCCCCTCCGCCATCTGCACACCGATGTATTTTAAGACGTGTCAGCGGCAGAGATGCTAAACCGGGTGAGAGGGAGCGGGGCTGGAGGAGGAGATGGGCGCGGGGGGGGGAAGGAGGCACGGCCACGGAGCCATGGGGCACAGGGACCCTTCAAGCCCAAGGGGCTCCAAGCCCTGAGCCCCCCCTGCTACAGCCCCACAGGGCCGGCGTGTCCCTGGGGCTCCACTCCTCCACCTTCACACCGAGCCCCAGCGAGGCTGCAGATTCCCCAAAACCACCAGAGAGCACAGGGGGCACCCAGCAGCACGAAGCCCCCCAGGGGCGGCCATCAGCCAGCCGAGAAAGGGCAACGCACCCATCCCCATATGGCCGCCCCAAAGGGGTGGAGGAGGCAGAACCCCACAGCCCTGGGGGGGCTCAGTGCACACACAGGGCTGGGGGCACGAGGAGGGGTCCAGCTCAGCCCCATAGCAGGCACTGCTGGGGGGGGAAAAGGGTCTTTGGGGAGAAATGTGGTCAGCCAGGAGCGCAACAACTCACAGCGATGATGGAGCGACAGGCCGGACAGGAACAGAAAAGGTTTAATTTTTCCAATCTCCACTTTCCATTTTTATAAACCGAAAAAGGAAACAAAAAAAAAATATTTTTTTTGTTTTGTTTTTAATATATTACAAAATATCTGTACAGAGACAAAGGTACAACCAAAAAAAAAAAAATAAAAATAAAAGGCGCTCGGTCTCGAAATGAAGGTGGGGCGGTGCGGTGCCCCCCGATCCCCCCCAGCCCTGCAGCACCACTTACAGCCATGAACGAACATCCTCCTTCCCCCCCCCTCAGAAAATCCTTTTGTCTTCTTTGTACAGAGCCCCTTTAAAGAAAAAAAAAAAAAGAAAACCAACAAAAGCAATGAGAAAAAGGAGGAGATGATGGGGGGCAGCCCCCCTCGCCCTGGGGTGATAGCAGGGATCCTTCTGTGCTCAGCCCTGCTGCCTGAGCTCCCTGCGCCCTCACAGGGGCTGATGGTAGGGAGGGGGGGGGGTCGATGGAGAGGAGCCCCCCCAGGAGCTCTGCCCCAGCCCCACAGCAGGATGGAGGGGGCTGGGGAGTTGGGGGCAGCCGGCACAGAAGTGGAAGCTTTCCATCCTTTGCTCATGGCCAGGAGCCCCCTGCCCCCCCCTTCCCCAGGTCACCGCTCCATTTGAAGCTCAAAACCCCAAATTTGGCCCTCAGCCCCACAGGGTTGCAGTGCTGCTGCTGTAAGGCTCAGTTCTCAGCGTAGCTTTTCTGCAGAGCTGCCCATTGGGAACGTGGAGCACTGGCCACCCCCAAGGAGGGTTTTTAGCACTGCTGGGGATGGGCTCAGGGAGAAAAGGCAAAATGCCACCAACAGCTCCAGCAGCAGCGTGGTGGAAATTCAAAAATACATATAAATTAAAAAAAAAAAAAAAAACTCTGGAGAGGCGACTGCTTTATTTAGTGCACTCTGCATCACAGAACCCCCTCCTCCTGCACGTCAGGCATCAACCGGCCATGAAAGCAAAGGAAAACCAATGAGAAGAACCCAAATCTCCCAAACCTGCGCCTGGCAGCAGCGCCCAGGTCCTGCAGCCCCACGGACTCCCATCTGTTCAGCACTTCGGAACACTGTCATCTCAAATTAAATGAACAACTCTATGTTTTCCATAGGAAAGGCCTGCTCGGGGAGGAGGAGGACAAAATAAAGCTCATAAATATGTACCTTTGTTTTATTCGTCTCTTTTGTTTACGTCTCATTGAAATGGACAACAACGCAGCCTTCTGCGAAAGGAGAAAATTCGTGGTCAGTGCTTCTCCACCACAACACAACCAGAGGAGCTCACAGGTCCTGGGATGTCCTGCTAGGAAACCTCCAGGTGCCGCCCCGGCCTCAGGCAGAATCCCCACCAGAATCGCTCTATTTTGCATCTCTCTTTAATTATTTTTTCCTTTTAAACTTCAATCCTTCCAATATTTAAGAATTCCAAAGAATACCTATTTGTAAGGGAGGCGTTCTCTTCGGCTCTTGAACGTCAAAACCAAAACAAAAGGGGGAGGGGGTGAATAACAAACCAACCAATACCAAAAAACAGTTCCTACTGCAACTCCATGGCAGGAGAGAAACCCAAAGAGACCCTTCACAACGCCGGCGTCCTACAGCTGCTGAGCAGAGCCCTGGGAGGAGGGGGTCACACAGCTCCAAGCACCACGGCCCCGCTGTGCAGCCCAAGCTGTGGGTCCCTGCAACAACAGCTTCGTTTTTATTCTTTATTCTATTTTTTTTTTTTTTTTAAAGGGGATTAGAAAAAAAAAAAAATAATAATAACCCAAACATTTTGCTTTGGGATCAGGCCGTCCCCTGGCCCTACCTGAACCCTGCCCCGCTCCTCCCTGCACGACGCACCGCTGCCCTCGTTGCTTTATTTCCTCCTTCCCCCGCGGCGGGTTTGTTCCATTCAGCCCATTTTACACAGCTCCCCCACCATCTGCTGGCTCAGGGCACGAAGCTCAGCGCCGTTTTATTGTCGCTAACCAAGCACAGAGGTCTGGCCGGAGCGCTGCAGAGAGGCGCCGGGCGAGCGAGGGATGCAACAGAGAGCTTTGCAGCAGCTGAGCGTGGCCGAGAGCCGGCCAACATCACATCGCTACGGTCAGAAGCGAGGGAGGGAGGTGATGGCAGAGGATGAGCATCAGTAAGGAACCCCCCGGCCCCGGCCCCCACGTGAGGGCACCCGGCCCGGACCGCGGTACGCCTTCCCGTAGGGCGCAGCCTGGGCCGGGGCCCCCCAGCCGTGCCCGGTTCCTGCCCCACTGGAACCGGCCGTCCCCACGCCCAGCTCGTTGTAGGTTTGAATTTTGGCCTCCGGGTGCACCAGCGTGTTGTTGCTCCCCTCGGTTTTGCTGAAGGATTGCCCGACCGAATGCAGAGCGACGGGGACTCTGGTGAAGCGGAGGTCCTGGTCCCCTGGGAACTGGACAGAGCCCATGCCCTGGTAATTGCTCGTCTCCCCGAGGTGGCTCACGGAGCCCAAAAAGGTCCTGCTTTTCCCCAGAGTTTGGGCAGAGGGTTCCAACAGCGTCTGGCCAGAGTTCAGCTCCTCGGCCCCGAATCCCCCATCAGAGCCCTCGGTGCTGTAAGTCCTGGACGAGTGGGACCTGCTGTAGTCGGTGGAGCGGGCGGGTTGGTGCTCGGCGTGGCTCAGAGATTCCTCTTGCTGGGAAAAGAGCTGCAGCAGAGCAGCTGTCACGGCCGGGTTCAGCTCCGGGGCTGCACTGGAGAGGTCTGCTTCGGAGAGAGGCGGCGGCGGCGGTCCTGGGGGCTCGGGGGGCCTCTTCTCTGGTGGGAGAACGCGAGGAGGACATGCTGTGGAAGGGTTACTCCTTTTAAACAACATCTTAACAACCACGCGAAGCAGATATCAATACATTTCTACCAAGTAAAACGAAAAGCAAACAGCCCTGCCGAGACCATCCGCTCTCCAGGAAGCACTGGAAAAAGAGGCGGAGAATTCTGAAAGCTGCCATTCGGTGTGAGATCACTGCTCACGTTCATTAACGTTCTCCCCGCACTCACCCCAGTCCCCCACACTCCCAAGCGCTCAGCAACAGCTGTCCTAACACATGGGCATCCGCAGAGGGAATTCCTGCTCCTGGATCAAAGGCTAACGGGGAGGCAGCCAGATGCAGAGCAGCACGGAGCAGCGTTCCTGGAAAGCAGAGGGACCCCAGTGCTGTGCTGCCTGGCACCGACTGTGTGCCACCGTGTGCCCTGCGGGAGGGTGTAAGGCAAGAAGCAGCCCCGACCCCAAGTGCCAGCTGCTGTCTGCAGCCCTGCTGAGCTCCCAGCCACGAAGCAGCCCCTCTCTCTGCTCACGGGGACTTCGCTGGTTTCGTGACCTTGTTAAGTACAGTCCAAAAATCTCAACCCACAACTATCTGCAGCGTTCCGACTGCGACACGTGGATCAGCCCCCCCGCTTCACCCTCCCCAAAGCAGACCTGAAGCAACAAGAACTCCTATTTCTAGAGGATCCCTCCTATCAGAACGTGAGCACTCCTCGCAGGGCGTCCCCACCAGCTCACAAAGCAGTTTGGTTACGGTGCAAAAAGCTGAGAGCAGAGCTGGGGCATCCCCCTGCTCGGGCAGTGCCACGGCCAGGGGTGACACCGCGCACAGGAGGTGACACACTGTGCACCAACCACGTTCACAAAACCAGCCCTGACCCACAGAGCAACACCACTGCACTGGTTTGGTCTCACCCACCAACAAAAGCATCGGCCACGGGGCAATAAGGCAATTACTGGCGATGATGTGAGAGGCCACCAACACCTTGTTCGAATCAGATCCTCAAATCATGTGCAAAAGTGGTTATTAAAAAGGTCAAACTTTATTGTGAAAACCAGTAGTCTTCCAGGACCACCCCTCCACCCGTATCCATCAGTCCACTTTAAAACTAGATTGTATTTAAATCCAGAAAACAATCTTCAGGTAATTTTAAAGCTAAGCTGATCTGGGGACAGCGCAGCATTTAAAATAAACAGAGAACAATGTTATTTCATTGAATCTGCTCTACAATAACCTAATTATATTCCAGTACTAGGGCAAAAAAAAAAAAAAAAAAGAAGAAAAAAAGGAAAAAAAGCACAATCACAACTGGCTTGTGGTGGGCGGGTGTGTTGAAGGCACGAGAACACAGCACGTTCAGCTACATTGCAGAGGAGTTGTGTATCGGGCCAAAAGAGGCTCCCTGGAGAGTCTGAGACATACTCAGGAGACGCTTCTACAATTTGGTGAGGTCGTCACAGGATGTTGCTAATAATTCAAAGAATCAACAAGAAAAAAAAAAAAAGACATGGAGACATTTACACTCACCTCTGGAAATGGAATCCACGAGCTTGCTGCTCCTTTTAGGCAGGTCTTTAAGCATGCCTCTAACTTGCTTGACAACAACCTGCTGCCTCAGCTTCCAAAGCTGCACAGTTTCTGCACTCACACATATCGACCCTATGCACACTGAACCTGGGTAGCTGTGCACCCATCCCTCCCTCACAGGGCTCTCCAGTATTTTGCTTCTCACATTCTTTACTACTTTTCTTTTTTTCTTTGATTGAGCAGGAAGGTAACAGTGTAAAAAAAAATATTTGGGACGAGTAAGACAGGGAAATCTGCATAGCTGCACTGTGCAAGAAGCCTACCTGGGTGTGTAAGCCCTGACCACATTCTAACACTCAGCACTTTCTTCCTCCCATCCTCACCCCACACCCCACTTCACCAGCCTCCCCCTGAACAGCTCTCAGATGTCTCAGCTCCTCCTGGTCACAGCTGAGCCACAGGCACTCGTATGGCAGCTTGACTTTTTCAACCAGGTGAATGGCATTCGAGATGCACAAGCAGTGCTCATGGTTATTTACCTGTGCTTTCCTCCTGATGCATTGTAGGGGTTTTTCTCAGCCCCCGCTGCTCGCTGCTCTTCTCCCCATTGCTTTCCTCCAGGGTTAGGACAGGCTCCTGGCTCTTCATCAGCTGACTGAGCAGAACGGCCAGCACGTTCTGCATGTCTCCCTGAGCACCAGCTGCTTCTGGAGTCACCTGCTCCTCCGGTGGCTGGGCCTCCGTGGGTGGCTCTTCTATGGCTTCCTCTGCTGCTGCTGCTGCTGCCTGAGACTCCTGCTGCTGAGTTGTGGCTTCTGTCAGAGCGTTGATGGACTGGTTGAGAGCCTCCAGCTGTTGCTGCATCTCTGGGTTAGAGTGTACATTTAACAGCTGGGCCATCTGTGGGACGCTCAGATCAGTCTGGCTCTGCAGCAAGTTCAGTAAAACAGCTAGTTCACTCTGATTCAGCTGCTGGGTGATTTCTCCAAGGCCTGCTGGAAACACAAGGAACATCACAGAAAGGTCAGAGAATGCTGCATCTGACCAGTTTGTAATCATGACACTGCACACACCAGCAAACCCCTCTTCTCCGTGGGCCTGGGGAAGGCATGCAGGCTGCAGAAGGATTCCAAGACAGTTTGCTCAGCTTTCCACCATCGGCTTGCCCCCTCCAGCCTGCAATCAGATCTGAACAGCACTGCAGCAGCACCCCGTGGTACTGCTCACACACTGCACTCACCCAAGGCTACAGTTCAGTACTGCTCTGCTAGCAGCAGAGGGAAGCTTTGTCACTGCCCTCCCCCTGGTCTGCCACCAACAGAACCACACACAGCTGCTTGTTCAGACCAGCACAGCTGGACCAAACCTTCCCCTAACTGAGGGCACCCCAAGGATCACACTGCTGAGCAGCTACACCAGTCAGGGCAGCAGGCTCAGGGACGTGTCTGAAAGCCTTTAGCTCATCTCTCAGTAATCAAAGCAGCATTCCTTCCTGCACTAGAAACCATGTTCCCAGGATAGAGCCTGTTTGGGATGGAAGAAGGATGTGTTCCACCAGTGCAGCAAAAAAATAGGTCATGCAGAAAGCAGCTCCTCTCTGAAAGCTGGCCTGGGATCAGAAGGCTCTGTCCTGACCTTCAAGCAGCCAGGTCAGCCTAAAACACAATCTTCACACAGTGTCACCTCCCCTCTGCATCATGCTGGACCAGAGCCTCCTGGGTGACAAGGATGACCCTTTACATTGACCCTGCAAGTCAGACTCCTTAGCAATCAAGGTGCACAGGTTTGGTTTTAGAAGCTTCAAACTAAGCCCCCTCTTACTGGTAGGCAACTAATACTGTTCCTCTGACTGTCTGTTAATCCAGCCAGAGCCTTTTGTCCATCTGCCATGTTTCACTGAACACATGGATTGCACATTCCCTGGAGCAAGAACTGTCTTCTTCGCTACTCGTCTGTAGAACATTTGACACAAAGGAATCTTCAGCCCTATCTGGTATTGTGCAAGGCTTCTAGAGAACAATCAGCACAGTCTGGGGAGCTTTGGATATCTCTGCATTCCCAAGAATCAAAATACCTCCCCTCCAACTATTTTTGGGACATCAGAATGTTGAATGTGGTTTTGGCAGCAGTGCACAAGCAAATCCTTATGATCAACTGATCTCTTCAGTAAGGAACAGTGGGCAATAACATTCATTTTTGCCCATCAGACACTAGTCTTTTCTCCTCATCTTTATATATTTGATCAATAGGATCAAATTTCAGCTCATCTGCACATTGTTTAGATGGCTGTTCCCACCAGCCTGTTATCTATTACCTCACTGGTCAGAGACTCAGGGATTCCTTGAATTATTCTCTAAGAAAGCAAGCATGTGAACCAATAACAACTTCTGAAGACCAGATAGAGTGCTCTCCAGCCAACAAAAGCCAGAACAGAAAGATTCTGCCCTTCCTATAGAAGTCAAATAATCAGATTGCCTTGAAAGTGAGCACCCCACACCCACTACAAACTGGAGACAGCATGAAGTTAACATCAAGAGGAGCCTTTAGCAGGCCAGACAAGGCACTGACCTACTGCATCTCCAGCACCAGCCTCTGTTTTGAGCTGGGCAGGCTGTGGGTGCACAGGACTGCTGTTGTTTTTGACAGTATCTGTGCTTGTAACAGAGGTAGTTTCTTTCCGAGAAACTTTTGATAATGGTGGCTCCTCCACTGCAATCCCACTCTGCCGCTGCCGTCGTCGTTTCTTGCTCCACAGCTCATGGCAATCCTGCCAGTGGGGAAGGCTGAAAGAGAACAAGACTTAAAAGGTAAAAAACACAGCACCAAAAGCAGATTTGAAGACAACTGAAAATTATTAGCGCTGTATGAGAAGTGCAGTTGTTCCTCTAAATGCAGCCATACTACTAAAGCCAGAAGGGGAGAATGCTAGAATGCCAGGGAAGGCAGCCCAATTGCACGTGAATCATGTAATCTGCACTGGAGTCTCACTCCTAAATGGACTGGGTTTGCTACCATACACCTCCTCCCATCCCCCAGCAAACGTACATTCAGCTTTGAGAGTATGGTGGTTCGAGGAAAGCAGCTGCCTTTAATAACCCTGAAGGAAATGGGAATCTCAAAAGCTTCTGCTATCCTTGCATGCAAATAAGCTAGAGCAGAGTTTTATAGCCTGACTGAGGTGGGAGAAAAGAGCTGCCAGTAGTGACTCTTGAGCAGTGTTGCACTCTTCTAGCCAATTAACAAGCATCGTCATCAACACAGCTGGCCCATCCTCCATGGCACAGAGGACAGGGATTTGCTGCATGCTATTCCCGTATCTTCCAACAGTTTTGGAGCACTTTACAAGTATTAAACTGAGTTTTATTAAAGCAGGCAAAATGAAACAAATACAGAAATCATAACTTAATTCCAACCAAGAAGGCAAGTGGCTCCTTCCTGAAGTTCATTAGCAGTGCCCACCACAGCAAATGATGCCAGCTGGAACTTACTCTGGAGGTGCCATTTTGCTGAGGTCAACATCCTTAAGGAAGTCACTCTGCAGGGCCTGCTCTGCTGTGCAGCGCTTGCCAGGGTCCAACGTCAGCATGTGGTCCAGCAGGTCAAGAGCAGATGAAGGAATGCTGTGCAGAGAGTGGAAAATATGGCTGAGCTACGCGGTTGTTTTGAACTAACAGGCTTTCAGGGAGCCTCCTCATGCTCAAGAGCAATAAATTTGGACTGCACAAATATCTAAGTGATGCGCAGCCCAAAGACATCATCAGAACAAGCAACAGACATGCAATATTTTTAGTCTAATGTTTCCTCGTTTACAAAGAGCAACTTTGCTATGAATCCCACAAGATAATCACACAATTATGCTCTCCCCCCAGAGAGCACATCTCTGAAGTGAGACAGCCTCAGCGCCATGAGAATGCCATACTGTCAAGTGTGCTCTCCAGGTGCAGACTGACAAGGCCAGACCCTCGCAAGGAGCGTCCCATGTGTGCACAGGCAGGGAATCCCTTCAGAAGGCACCTCAGGCAGATGAGGCAGTTAATGCACAGTGAGTCCACTCCAGCCTTCCACAAATGGAAAAAAACCCTCATGGTGAGGGCTGCCTGAGGGCAGAATGTAAGGATGGGAAGCACTGCTTCATTCTGCCAGACAGACTAGAGCCAAAGGACAGATCTGTCACACAGTGTAGCAGAAGGCCACAACCCCACACAGCTGCTCGTCCTCTCTGCTATGGAAACTCACAAGGAGAACTCCTCACGCAGGCGCCTTCGGTATTGCTTCTTGGGTTTCATAGTGTTGAAGTAGGGCAACTTGATGACATCGGGCCACACTGCTGGACAGGGGCTCCCACAGAGCCGGCTGAGAACCAGAAAAACAGAGTATGATCAGCAGGTGAAACAGTGAGAAGAGCCACTGGCTCAAGTGAAGACACTGCCTTTCCAAGCAACTTGGAGTACCAATAGCCTAGGTCTGGGCATGCGTATAAGTAGTATTAAATAAACCACAAGTTAAAAAGGAAGAGGAAAAATGCTCACTTAAGCTTATAAGCAATCATCAAACTGAATTTTCAGTGAGAGATGCATTTTAGGGCCATGACTTCTGCATTCAGCTAGCTACAGATTTCACTGCAGGTGCATGCTTTAGCAGCCACACACTTGGGTGGCGCAGACACCTAGATGCCCAACTATTCACATGTGCAGTTACAATAATTTACTAGTCCTATTTTGCAAGCAGATTAGAGAAAGAGGGCTTTTATAATACAGCAACTATGTGCATGAGCAGTTACTGCAGTACCTCTTTCTCATAGGCATGCATGTGCAATGCTTTACCTGATTAATTCAAGCTGAGCCAGTTCCAGATTGGCTTGAAAAATAGGCTTCTTTGTAAACAGTTCCCCGAGGATACAGCTGGAAAGAGGAAAAGCAAGAGGTCACGACAGAAAACCCTTGGGATGATCATTTGAACACTGCAGCATTTCTGTTCAGAAGCAGATCTGCCCAAGGAGAGTTATTTGCATCAGGGCTTGTAGCTGAGAACTGACAAACTAACCTGTGTGTACAGTCACCAGTTTCTACACAGCTGGGAAATAACACTAGCCTGGTTAACGTGTCACAGGCTTCACACTTTAACTCTTTGCAGGGAAAGTAGGATGTGTTAATACCACGATAAGAAAAACAGGCAGGCGTCTCATTTTCTTCCCACTTATCTTTCTAACTTTACTGTCAAAATTTGGGGGATATTTGCTGGCCCAAATATCCTCAGCTGTCAGCAGTAAGCTGCTGGTCATTGCCAAGCACAGCATACAGCCTTGCACACACACATTTGCGCAGCTGTAAGGGAAAGAGAACGAGACAGTGGACAGCTCTGACTCAGCCAGTCCTTAACATCTACCCTCAGGCCTTCTGGCAGGAATGACAAGCAGTGCCAAAGATAGCTGCAGACTGATACAGACACCTGTCTGCTGGAGCTGGGCTAACCCCACTCATTTGGCACAGGACACCAAATCGCAACTGGACTTCACAGCCAAAATTTCCAGCAGTAATTGGGAGGGCCTGACTTTCACTTCTTTGTTGTTTGTATACTAAGCCCCAGTAGAGGTTTGTCACCCTTCCTGATCTCAATGGCACGTTAGTAGCAAAGGTCAGCTGGTTCTGTTTTTAAAGAGGAAGAACAGATACTTTTATCGTCCCTTTTATATTGACTTCTATGACAATACAAAAAATACTCTTATTCCAGGAGCTTTCACTAGTAGCTTTAGCTAGGTGACAGTCACTGCTGGCTTATAGTAAGGGAATACTCTTAAAATGTACAGAACGTTTACAGATACAGCTTTAGAGATTAGCACAAGCCAAAAGCTACCTCCCCTTGCAATCACTATGTGCACGAGGTTCCCAGCCCTGCCACGACAGAAGATGGAAGCCAGGCACTTACCCACAGCTCCACACATCTATGGCTGGCGTGTAACGCTCCTCACCTAGCAGCAATTCTGGAGGTCGATACCATAATGTGATGACTTTATTTGTGTATGGACGGCTGGAAGGGAACATGCAAATGTAAATTGGCATCAAGAGCCACGAAACCCTCACAAAGAGTGATCATTAATTCCTCCACTCCCCTTGCCTCACCTCTCCTCCGAGCTGTAGAGTCGGGCAAGTCCAAAATCTGCAAGTTTGATTTGCCCACTGAAAGACAAAAATAATCATTGGTTTGAACTGCAGCTGAGCTCACATTTTGCAGGCAGTAAAAGGTAAGGAAATCCCTCAGTACAGCAGACAGGCCTAAATGAGCAGCAGTGACTTTTGGCTACACCAGATCCTATGTAGTGCTTCAAAGAAATGAAGTGTGATACTTCAGTCTCATCTCTATCACAGTCCTCCCAACAGACCAATGTCCCAGAGAAACTTTTTCAGAAGGATAACCAGGCACGTGGATGCAATTACATGCAGTATTACTCTCACAAGCTTTTCTTAGGGTTATCCAGATAGCATCTTGATAATTAACAGAAATTAATAATTGTGAAGCACTCTGTGATGAACCATGTCACTGCCAAACACTGCTATCTAAACAAGAGAGAACTCGTGGAGATCTGCTGCTTTCGACCTTAACCCTCAATGGTTTCCAATAAACAGTATTTTTGCCAAAATGCCATGGAGACGAAGGACACAAAGAGACCCATTTAATTTAAGCTAACACAAAAGCTATCAGTCTCATGTGGACAGACTGCTACCACCAGCAAGTTCCACAGAAGGCAGTTAGGGCTGCTCACCCTTTGTTTCAAGAGCTGTGCTCCCAGCCAACGACAGCACCCAGGAAACCTACCACTTCACAATCTGTCACACCACTGGTGGAAACACACAAGACTGCTTCTATGGTGCACAGACAGCTCTTATTACTGAGCAGAACTCCAGGTGAAGACAAGTGGGTACTTTTAGCTGAACCCAGGGGCAGCACAGGGGAAAGAGCCAGAAGAGAACTCCAGCCCTGGCAGCTTACCTGTTGTTCAATAAGATGTTGGAGCACTTAATATCCCGATGAAGGAAATTCTTTTTGTGACAGTAATCCAGACCTTCCATTAACTGTTTCATGAAAGACTTGATATGGTCCTCTGAGAAATGTACCAAGCCAGATTCTAGCAGCCCCATTAGGTCGTGGTCCATGTACTCAAATACAAGGTAAAAGGCACCTGGAATAACACAAAGAAATAATTAAGATGAGAAAGGAGAGATCAAGGAAAAGAGGAATGAAAGCACTTCCAGTTTGTTGAAACATTTTTGTGTGTGCTGTTCAATGTGCTCTGTTTATGTATTTATTTATTTTTTAATGCACATGGGATTTACAATGCATCCCATATATGCTTTTTACTGCAACTGCTTTTCTGACTCTACAGGAAGAAATGCAATGCACCCTTTTAAACCTGCTTCTACCTCTGCATGGTGAAAATTCATATAAACCAGAATCCATCCTTTGCTGGGAGGTCAAATCCAGAGGCCAAACATGATGGAACCACACATCAAGGAGGAACACAACAACACATCTACACACACAGAAGGATTTTTAGTTTTACATTCACAAACAAATGAAGTTGCATCACCTTTCTGGCTAATTGAAACCACACCCTGCAGCAAATACCTTTGTCCTTTTTGAAATCCAGTGCATCTTGTTTGTCCGTGACGATTTCCTTCATGTTCACAACACTACGATGGATCAGCTGCCGAAGGATTTTGATCTCGCGGATGGCTGTGATGGGGAAGCCCTCCTTCTCATTGTCCAGTCTCACCTTCTTGAGAGCTACCAATTCACCTGCCAGGACAAACCAGCGTCAGAGCTTCTGCATACATCACTGCCAACAGCTCTGAGGGTTCCCAGCAGGAAGTAACTATGGACACGGTCAACATCCACTAAGAAACAAAAGAGCTGCTTCAGTTACCACTCAGCTATTTTGTGTAACACCACTCTGACTGAAGTCACCATGCCAGCAACTCGAGACAGGTGACACCGGAGCTCCTCCTAGTTTGCTTCAGTGGAAAAATCAGGTGAACTGAAATTACCCCATACAGCTCCAGCCCTTTTTACAAGCTCTGCTACAGTAAAACTCAACAAGAACACATTTAAACAGCAGGGCCTCAGTTGGCACCTGTGGCTGCAGCCAAGCTGTGCATGTTGGGTACACAGCTTCACAGACACAAAGGGCAGCTGGATGCTCAGTTAATAGCATGTCAGAGCCTTTATTCTTTTACCCTTTTTCAAAACACGCTACATAAATATCCATTCCAGCACTGGAGCCACTTCAAGTTCTACAGGTATTCATCATTCCCTGGCCCCATCACTAACACCGGAGTGTTCTATGCATACCCATGGTAACGAGGCCTTGGAGAAGTGGGGTCAACCTGAAGCCACGTGGCACCTTTACCTGTGTCCTTGTCCTTGGCTTTGTACACCTGCCCATACGTCCCTTCTCCAATAATTCCAATGATATCAAACTTGTCCACACAACGCTTCCCCCAGTCGCTTTCTGTCTGCCTCCTTTCCCCATACCGAGGACAACAGATTCTGAAAGAAACAAGAGGGGGCTGTTAGACACCCATCTGACAGGCTGTTACACACCCATGTGCTCCACCTCACCCACAACCCCTCATAATCCTCCATCCGATGGTTTTAGGAAGTATCCTAAGAAACAAATGCAGAATTTACCCTCACACCCATGCAGGTAGCTGCACAGATTTCTACCAAGACCTCATTATGCACTTTAATTCTATTATTCTAAGAATATTCTGTATTCTTCTATTGTGAATAACCTCCTCCCAGAAGCACCAAGAGCTTTATGCAGGGATACTCATCAGGAAGTTTCTTTGGTGTAAAGGCTACAGTTGATCAGAAGATTGAGACAGCTTCCAGGGTAGATGTGGCTGAGTATCAGAACATGGCACATTCCACCTGTCTCTAACATTGAAAGGATCAGGGGGAGGGACAACAGCCTGTTACAGCTTCAATACACAGCCTGAACTGCCACCCCCAGTGTATTTCATGCACCATCCCTTCTTACCTGATAGGTGTGCTGTTCATTCTAAAATAGATGGCAAGTAGCCTTCAGCTGTGAGTAGTCCAAATACAAAACCACCCACAAGAAATAAGATAATGTACAAAAACAGGAATGTGAACTTCATTTTTTCATGCTGCATTTCTCTCAATGGAGACAGCACCCCCCAGTCTGAGGCCAGAAGAACTGCAATAAAATGGAACTAAGTCTGGCTGAAGACATATAAGCACACATTAAGTGTTCTTTCCATCCAACAAACAGCGGGGAGAGCTGGCAAAGCAGCTGCCAGATTCAATTTCAGAACTAACTGAGCTTTCAAGAGCACCATCTCCACACAGAGCACAGGACATGCAGTCAGCTCTTCTGGAGTTACAGCGTGGACCACAGCTCTACCTTAAAGCTTTAGAAACCTCGACGGACAGCAGTGCGAAGAAATAGAAAAACCAACAACTTGGAAAAGCTGAAGAAAGAAAGTCAGCCTTACTTTGGTCTCTTTTTGAAGGGTTGCTGAGGTGGTGTGGCTGCCTTTGGTTCCGGGGAGTCAGGAGGAGATGGATCCCCTCCAGGGAGCTCTGGAGGGAGCGGGAGGTCCGTGAGTAAATGCCGTGGTCTCTGCTCTCTATCTTTCTTCACAGGTTTTGGAGGAAGAATCTCTTTTGGACTAAACTCCGAAAAGTCGATACAATACAGAAATCAGACTTCAGAGGTAACAAGCAAACAAAATCCTACGGTAGGACAAAAGCTCTCTATTTGAGAGCATAAACTTAGGAAAATTAGCATAGCAAAGGGTAAAATCAGAAAACAGTCTTACATTTTACAATGATCAGTCAGGAAAGTGTTACATTTGAATGCACCATCTTCAATCAAAACACACTGCTCGCTGCAAGCAGCACTTGCTCAAGCTGCACAAACAACCACAACTGAACCTCTCTGAAAGTCACTTAACTTCTTAGCAAGGACTGAAACAGAGCTCTAACTTGTGCATATTATTGAGATCAGACTTTAAAAAATTAAATTATGGATGTCAGAGAAGCTTGGTTTAGACTGGCAGGAGTCTCAGCAGCAGAGCCTAATTTCTCTCTCATGTTTGCTTGCAGCAGGAAGAATTCCTAGGTCTGAGCAGTCAGGAATTCTCCTATATGTAAATCCCAGCAATACAAACAATTGCAGAGCTTGTTTTCTGGGCAGCCAGCAGGAGGTTTGCTGTGTGTCAGCATCTAACACTCATCAGCACTGAGATCTCCACATCAATAAGATCTGGAAGCAGGTCATTCTTCCGATTTTCCTAGCAGACACTGCCAAATTTACCTGAAAATCTCTTGTGAAATACATTAAGAAGCAAGCAAGACAAAGCAAGATACAGTCCAGGCACTGAGCTCTGATATCTGAGAAAGAATGGGGAGTAATCTTATCCTGCTGCTGCAGAAGTCACCGCTCAGCTGCAGAGCTAAACGAGGCACACTCACTCACTCTTCTGGAGGAAAACCTCCACTGTGAATTCTGCTATGGGCAGTACATGCCCTGGAAGCAGCAGGAGAGCTGTAAGCCCTGACCCTCAGCCCCAACTGCCTGGGAGCCTCAGTGTGTGGGATGGCATTGACAGGGCACTGCACCGAAGCACAGCAAACCTGAGAAATTCCTTCAGAGAAGCCCTGGGAAGTCAGAAACTGTGTTCAAACAGAGCTTTCTTCGCTGATTTTGTATACGTAGTTGAAACCAATCACTAATGTGATGCCCAGCTCTTAACAGACCATAAGCTCATGGTAACAAACAAGCAGCTACCTGGCTTCATGTTTGATCCACTTTTACTTGGCACACCAATTGCTTCTGATACTATATAAATATAACATGCTACACTTGAACTCTTTGACCCTGACAAAAAAGAAAAGCTGCAGTCTTTTCCCAATGCACATCAAACACAAACTTATTCAGAGGACTGCCCTGGGAAGGGCACAGATGTGCTGGTGGGGCTGTGGCACTGACACCCACACTGCCTGGAGTTCCCTTTTCCCCCTCTGACCAACACCCAGCACATCCTCCTGGACACACTGCTCTCTTTCAGCACTTTACAGCCACTTCATTATCTCCTATTAGCACTATTAGCTGGTCACTATAGCTTTAATTACCGCCAGAACATTTGGACTTCTCACCAGGATTTCTTCAAAGTGAGGAAGCCAAACAGACACTTCAGAGCTGCCTGAGCATAAGGATGAAAAACATGAATGCCAACAGCCTGACACAGACACACAGACACCATCCCCTGTCTTCCATGCTCCAGAACACTAAAAACACAATCAGGCTGTATTTTTAACTGTTAGCACTGTGAAGGCAGCCAGGTGTTCCTAAAAAACCTATGCAAGCAAATGGATTTTTCAGTGCAACACCAAACAAGCACGTATGACATTGATGCCACTTGGTTCTAAATGGGGCTGCTTCCTCCTGCTGCCACGCTTCCTGCAAGTGGGAGCAAGCCATGGCACACCTCAGCTGCTGGGGAGCCCCACACTGCACAGGCAGATCATCCCTGGGAGCTCGGCAAGCATCAGGAAAGGGCTGAAGATTCCCTAAGTGAAGAAGGTATGCTTGAACTTCACAGCCTGTTCCCAAATCCTACACTTTGCACGGCCTAGTGTTTGCCCAGGCTGAGCATGGAAAAACAGTCTATTTGTAAGAAGATCTGTTCATAAGAACAAAGTCAGTGATTAAGAGTGAGTTCTGTAACTGCCAGTGCCACACGCAGCCACCACTCAGCAGATAATGTGGGAATTCCCATCCCTTCATGGGGAAAAGCTCACTGCATCCACTCACTGTGTTTAACACTGGTACATCATCAATTAAAAAAGTAGAGCAAGTTTCTCCAGACAAGTTCATATCAGAAGCTACAGCCAGCCAAAATCCAGAGCAGCAAGATATACAATTACAGGACAGGATTAAGTCTGCATGTTCTGATTAGAAGTGATAGGAGAACGGGTTTCCTTCCACTTCAGGCTTACCCTGCAATGCTATACACATGCAGGATGCAACAGAGATAGAGGGCACACTGCATGGAAGAGGGGGACGGGCATCAGTTACAGCTGCAAACATTACAGCCACAACTTAATGCCTGCTCATCTCCTGAGATCAGCTCTTGGACACACATATATATTGATAGACAAAAAAGCTGAAGCTGGTGCAGTTTTACTCTATTTTCAAACAATATCTACTTCTTAATCATTAATAAAATACCCATTGCTTAAGTAATCAAAACTTAAGCTGAACTAATGCCTTTTATTCTTCAACATGTGGGCATGGCCTGCACACTCCATGAATTTGGACCAGAAATAGCTCTAAACTATATTCCTGTGTTGGAATTGTTAAGGTATTTCCTGTTACTTAAGTAAGGTTTGGGGCAAATTAAATAAAAAAGCATTTTGTACAAATGGCTGCAACGAAAAGGGATCCTGAATTCAGGATCCTTCATTACTACGATAAATAAAGCCAAAGCAATGTGAAATTTTTACCAGCTAGCATTAAGAGCAGCCAACCCTCCCTTCCTCAGTGAGAAAGCATGTAACTACCCACACAGGATGATAGAAGTCTCCACAAAGAGCTGACAAGCCAAAAACACGAGTGGCCATGCAATAGGACAGTCTTCAAAGCACTCTGCAAGACAAGCCAGCAACCACCAAACCAACCACCAGAACCTGCCTGCTTGTGACTTTGTGCCTGGAAGCACAGACAGGACCCTCTGTGTGACCTTACCTATCCAAGTCATCTTCCCCAACTAAAATAGGGGGGAGCGGAAGCGGAGGCAACGTTGAAGTTTTCAGGTGTGGGATAGCAGCCGTCACAGATGCTTGTGTTTTTGTAGCGACTTGGACAGAGGACTGGGAGTTCACCTGAGAGGATAAAGTAGACGTCCTTGGGTGGGAAGATGATGACAAAGACGTTGGGACTGAAGGAGGAACCTGAACGGGAGTCTGTTGGGATGGAGGCAAAGGTGGAACAGCAGGTGATGGAGGCAGAGGTGGCAGCGGTGGAGTCGGAGGCGGCGGTGTGGTGGTCGGCAGAGGTGGAGGAGGTGATTTTATGGAGGGCAGCGGGGGTGGAATCTCCTTCTCTGCTGTGTCTGTCTCCTTTGGAGATCGAAGGTCCTCTGTCACTGCTACAGGCTTCGAGTCTTTTGTTCCCAGCTGTTTCGAATCTCTAACTGGAACAGGATGTTTCCTTTCCGAGTTCTCCTCTGCCTTGGTTTTTGTTGTCTCTGCAGGTGCTTTAGTCTCTGCATTTGAACACAGTAAATTAACTAATTCTGTATCTGACGATGACTTTTCAGATCTAACAGTTTTGACGACCTTTTTAGATTCCGTTCCAGACTCCTTCAGTTCAGCTAAGCTGTTCTCCTTTTTCGCCAGGAAAACAGGGGAGCCCTTCACCTCCTTCCCATCCACCTTCGCAGCCGCTGCCGCCGCCGCCGCTCGTTCCTTTTTCTTCCTGCTGAGCTCTGCCCCCAGGCTGGAGTTCAGAGGCAGCCTTGTGGGTGATATACTGGAATGGCGACTGCGGGACCCAGACCTCTGCTTTTTGCTGTGAGATGATGAGTGCCTCGAATATCCCGGGCTTCTGCTTCGGGACTTCACAGACTTCCTGCGAGCAGAAGAAGAGAAATGAAACAGAACATCTCACAAACTCTGAGCTGCTCCCCAACGTCAGCAGCTCTCTATGAAACACCACAGACCCACTGCTGGTCAGCTCCGTTCAGCCAGGTCGTTGCACCTACAGGAGGGAATAAAGGCAGCAGAACCAGATTGCTGAGCAGAGCAGCGTGAGCTCCATGTCAGCACCCAGCCTACACCTACAGCCACACTGCTAAGGCAAACGAGGGAAGACAAGTCTCCAGGTAGAGATGAGATCACAGCTGCACGCACCAAACAGAAGACTTCAGTCGAGATTACGAGCTGGCAGTTTACAAATCTTTCAGAGTAATTATGTACAGCTTTAGAGGAAACAACAGATAAAATATGGCTGCCCCCATGGGAACACCGCCTCAGGAAACGCCTCACTTCAAGCTCATTCTTCCCCTGCTTCTTTTACTTACCACCATCAGAACTTACATTTGCATGTTGTGATTCAGGAAGGAAAAACAAAACACCAAAAAAAGACTTTTAATTCTGTTTGAGGTATGTTTGGAGGGTCTCAGTCTTCACCTCCAACAGAAGGGCTCTACATTGGTATATCTGCACAAAGAGAAAACTCTGCTGAAAACCTGTGCTGTGAACAGGTTTTCAGGAACAAGCAGGAAACACCTCGCAGCGCTGGGGTACATGCAGTGTAGTGGGGGCTGATGGAGGAACAACATTAAAACCACAACGGAACTGGAAACTGGTAGTTCCAGTGCATGCCCTCAGTTACCATGAGACAGGGCTGTCCACTTTGCTTAGGGAAGAACCAGTGGAGTTGTGTCAGCTGACAAGAAAGTGAGAGAAGAGCTCTGAGGTGACTTTTATTCCATGATGAATTATTGGGAGCACATCTAGCTTTGGAAATGCAGGAGTTATAAGCCCTCGCTGCCCTAACAGCAGGCATATCATCCCTACCATGAGGTACCAGCCCAAATCTCAAGTCACTGTGGTCAGAGAATGGCTCCTGTCGGCAGTCCTTGCTCTGTGGTGCTGCCCAGGATCATGGCTTTTTCCAAGGTTTCTGTCTGATGAATTAACAGTCTCAGCTTAACAGCTTGCTGCCCAGATAGCAGCTCACCAGCAAAGTTGCCAGGAGGTGAAAATGCTACTATGTTTTCACTATGCCCAGAGACATTTGCAGGCTAAGGAAGACATCCCCTAATGGACTCTGTAAGGATGCAGTTTACTACAACCACAAGTAGTTTTGGGATTAGCATTCCCTACTGCAGTTCTTTTGGATACACTAAGGCTCTCCAACACTCACTTTCCTGTGCCTCCCACCCCTACCAGTTACACCAATTTACCTGCTTGCAGAGCCACATTCTGTAAACAGACAGCACACAAAGTAAGTTTCTGCATCAGCAGTCAATTCTTTTTTTTACCTTATCTGTCACAGTGTTGGATAGGAACACAGCCACCTGCAGGGCCACCAGAAGGAAGGGTGAAGCCAGCAGAGCTGTATACAGCCCCACTGCCAGCACACAGCCTGTGCTGCTCCACCTGCAGCCTGCCCACCTCTCACCCTAACAGCCTCCACTTACAGGCACCCCTTGCCCTTCTTCTCTTCCACCATACATGCAGATCTCCATCTGGATAAAGGTGCTCTGGAGCTAAAGAGCACCTTGCTGTCTCTTGAGCAATGGAAATCAGAGACACAAGAAACCAACCATGATGACTGTGAATAAGCATAAAGTTATAAAGAGGCAATGAAGAATCCTTTAGAAATCTGATCTAATCAGAAAGTTAGAAGAGGCTTTGGGGGAGGGCACACTGGAACCCCCCCCAGATCTCACACTGCAAGAAAGACCACAGTTAGCAGCTGTCAGTGCTGAAGCCCTGGGCAGGAATCCCCACATCCACGTGTTTCCATATCCCTTGATGTACAAACTCCCAGGAACACCTGGAGGCAGCACTGCTGCAAGCCAGGACAGAAGAGCTGAGAGCAGTGGTAGCCAAGAAGTCAGACTGCACAGCCCATACTCTATATTGCTCAAGAAAGAAGCCCAAACAAAGGCTGTTATTCCTACATGCCCAACCCCGAGTCATGCAGAGGCTGGTGCCCTACAGACCCATGCCTGCAGCACATGTGCACACGGACACTTGGCTGCTATACTTAGCAAAGAGCACAACCCACCTTCAGCAAGCTGAACAACTCCGGAATTTCTTCTTCTAGCTTTAGCTGCAACAACAAGGAGGAATGGCAAACCACATCTGTTATTTTCCCTGCTGACCAAATCATCCCTATTTTCTCCTAAATTGAAAGCAAGTTGTTTTGCATAGCCATTTGAAATGCAAACATTCTGTATTCTCTCCAACCAGCACAGCACTTTGATTCAGTTTCCTAACACTGTAGATTGGACATGGAGATTAAAGAAAACACAGAATGTGCTAAGACAAACTAAAACAACTCGTATTTTCAGCCAGCAGAAATAATGCAGTGCCCCAGAAAAGCCTGTGTTACCTCCTTTGAAGGACTTAAGCCACAGTCAGGTGTTCACTGCATGAGTGTGCCAATTCGAGATGCTTCCCCTCCCAAACCACTCCTGTCCCTCCACAGGATCAGTGGTCAGCACCAGCTGCCTGGGGTACTCAGCTGCCTCTATCCACTCTCATCTGCAGCAGCCAACCAAAGCCAACTTCAGAGGTGCTGGAAAGGAAGCTCAGCTGATCTCTACCTCCAGGTGAGCTCCTGAGCAGCCTTGCAGGGGTGGCAGCAGGCAGCTGGGAGCATCTGTGACTTCTGGCACAGATGTCTGACCATAAACTTACACCAACTGCTTCGGCACACAGGCTATGAGCTCAACAAAGCAAAACCAACGTGTGAATTACAACTTACAATTTGCCTAACATATGGAAAACATGTTAAATTCCCTCTGTCCTTTACTAGGATTCACTTCAGAAGAGTATTTTCTGAAGGTGTGATACATCAGTTTTCGTTCTGCTGCACAAGGATGCATCATACAAAGCGGCATCAGCTCAGGAAAGGGAGAAGAGCAGGAGGTTACCAACTGAAGCCAGAGACCCAAAGAACTTGATACAAGCCAAGAGTAAACAGTAAGCAACCTTTGGAATCTGTTGTGGTTGGGGGTTCCAAGCATTTCGTCAGTGAATCAAAGATACCCTGGAAAAGTTTCTTGTATCAGTATGCAAGTACAGAGGAGCAGCACAGAGTGCTTCAAAGTTGTTCCCATAATTAAGATCAGGAAAAGATAACAGCTTGATTTCTCAAGACAGATGCAACCAGCCATTTACAGAAAGAGCAAGCTCCAGGTTGGGAAGTGCAACAGAACAACCTGGGGACAGAGCCTCTCATACACACTTCAGTTTCCAGGTGGGTTTCCTCCTGCACAGGACTGAGGGTAGACATTTAACACATGCCACAACACACAACCACACCATGAAGGAAGGATACCTGCTGGTTTTACTCTTCCAAAAGCATTAGCAAAGAGCCTCCAAGAGCTGTGCCACCATAGCAGAAAGGACTGAGGGGAGGGAAAAGAGATGTTGAGGACTATCCCTCATTACCTCTGAGATTTAGGAGAGGCCCAAGATAACCTCTGCTTCAGAAAATCATAGGAGAAGAGGTAGATTTTACTTAACAGCTTCCAGGAAGCTAGAAACAGTACATCTCTCATAGTGAGGACAAAGGCTGTAATTCAACTGCCCCATGGACAACAAAATTCCTCAACGGAAGAGCTTTAGTTGTAAAGGCTCAACTCAAGAAACCCCAAGCAGTTGAAACCCACTGCTCACAAGCACATCCTGGAGCAGCCTCCTCAGGCACAGCTCATATTTGGAGCAGAGGATGCAGCACAATGCAGAGCAGTTCTATAGTTATTACATTCCAGGTCACATCTTAATTGCCATGGAGCTACAACCAAAGCTCCACAGCACCCACGGTGACAACAGGAAACTCACTTAACAGAATCTGAAGCTAGAAAGAAAAAAACAACATTAGACCACATATTTGTGTACATAACAGGAAGATTAATGAACACCTGAAATAAAACAGAGTTAACACTGCCTTCAAATAATAGCTTCCCTCCGTAGCAAGATTACTGTCTCAAGAAAGACAAAATGCAGATGATTTCTACCTGCTTTTCCAGAATGCCCCAATTTCAGAAGGGAAAGCAGTAACTCTAGTACCGAGAAAAGAAAGTTTAGGCTGAAAAGACGGAGTTTACATGTGGTCATCTAATTCAGGGAGAGAGAAAAAAAAAAGTCAGTTCAGAAAGAGCAAAACACAGACAACCCTCCTGAAGAGCGTGATCAGATTTCCATACGCAGCAAACAGATAAAGGGTTCCAGCAGAGGTGAACACATTCCTCCCACTGAGCTGCACAGCAGCGAGGAGCATCCGGGCCCTGTGCTGCACACAGCTCAGCTCCCCCCCTGCCAGGGGGCCACCTCCAGAGGTGAGCGTAACTCAATCCCCGGGGCTCGCTCCTTCCCTGGCCACTGCTGTGAGCCAACATGGATGCTGCTCAGTGCCAGCCAGGAGGTGTTTCCTCAAGTGTGAACACCACTCTGCAGGAAACAGCAACGAACCTGCCCCAGAGCAATTGCACACCGAGCGCCGTGCTGCCAAATCATGGCGCTGCTCCAGAGCAGACACAGAGGGGGGTTAACACCCAGCCACCCCAAGGCATCCTCTCCCCCCACTCCCTCCCCCATTCCCCAGGAGGAAGAAGTCACTGTTGAGAGCACACACCTGGCTATGGGGCTTCGGCTCATGGAGCGCTTGGCAGCAAAAGGGCTGCTGGAGCGCCTTCGGCTGTAGGGACTCGGTGAGCGCCCGCTGTACGATCCACTCCCCCTCTCGTAGCTCGAGGAGCGTCTCCTGTTATAAGGGCTTATGGACCTCTGCCTCCGGCTGTAGGGACTGGGAGACCGTGTGTTGGACTGGTAGGCCACGGGTTCCTTGTAGGGTGGGCTGATGGACTGCCGGCGCGACGAGCCGCCGGGGCTCTTCCTGTAGGGATCGTAGTTACTGGACGTATGCGAGCGGGGCGGGCTGAGGTCGTACTCCTGGACGTAGGAGGCTCCAGAAGGGCTGTCGTCCAATTTTGGGCTGTCCAACCATTTTCTGTGGGGACTTCTGGATTTCCGTTTCGGACTGTCAACGGTTTTATAACTTTTGGGAGCATCCCTTTTGCGATGGCTTTTACTGCGCTCTTTGTGGCTGGACTTGAGCTCCCGATCCTTCCTGGACTTCTCCTTGTGCGCTTTGGCTGAGCGGGATTCCTTGTTGCTACTCTTTGAGGACAGCGCCTTCGGGTGCTCCCCGCTTTCAAGCAGTCTCTTGGAGGACCCCGATACCCTGTCCTTGGTAGACCCGGACCTGCTGGAGGCCTCCAGGCTCTTTTCCAACTTCCTCTCTTTCTCTGCCTGTTTGCTCTTCATCAGCTCACGGATGCGTTTGTGCTGGTGGTGCCGGTGCTTCTGCGTCCTTTCGCTCCTATCCGCTTTCCTCTCCTCGTTCTCCCTCCTGTCCAATTTGAGGGCCACATCATCCGAGAAGGTGTCCGAATCCGAACTGATGTCATCGTACTCCACCAGCGGTTTGATCACAGCTCCCAGAGGTGCCGCCGTCTCCTGGGCGGCCAACGGTGACTCCTTGGAGTGCCGGGATTTGTGCCTCTTGTGCCTGGAAGCCACCCGGTGCCTCTCCTTGCTGTTGGAGCTGCCCGGCGCGTGCTGCGAGGCCCCCCCGCCGCCCCCATCCTTCTTGCCCCCATGTCTCTCCGGGTTTGGCATTCCTCCTCCACTGTGCTCGGACAGGGGGAGGGGGGGGCGCTCCTCCGAAACCCCCGAACTTCAAACTCCCTCAGCGCCCTCCGTTCGCACCATTCACCGCCCCCCTGCCGCCGGCACCCCCTGCCGCATGGGGAGCGGGGCGGAGAGCGCGGGGCGGAAGGGGAGAACAGGGAAGGGGGGGGGGGAGCGGAACCGGGAGGGGCGGGGAAGGGCACCGGGCCTCAGCGCCTCATCCGAGGGGCCCAGGCCCGGAGGGCAGCGCCGCCGCGGGGGGAGCCCCGGGAAGGCGGGACCTGGGCCCACGATCCCTCCCCTCCCGTCCTGTCCTGTCCCCGCCCGCCCTGTTCCCACCCTCAGCACCGGGCCTCACCGCGCGGCCCTTCGGCCCCGCCGCCCCGGCCCGGCCCGGCCCCAGCGCCCCCCGCTCACTTCCCAAAGCGAAACGGCTCCGCGGCCAAGGGGGGCACCCGCCAAGTCTCGCGAGATGACGGCCGCTTCTCGCGAGAATCAACCCGAGCCCTCCCCCGCGAGATTTCAAGTGGCGAGAAGAGGAAAGGCGGAGGGGAGTGCGCGCGCGCACCGTCGTCTCGCGAGAGCTGCGAACGAACTTTGCTCTGGCACGGGGAGCGGGCAAAGCCCCGCCCCTTCCGTACAAGCGGCTCTTTATCGAGGCACGCGCGCTCCGCCTCTCCGCGCCAATCGGCGTTCGGAAGGCGGTTCGGAGCGGGGGGGCGGGGCCTGAACGGAACGCCCCGCCTCTCCACTACGAACTCCCTACCTCTCGCGAGACTCGGAAGTTCTCGCGAGAAGTGGGAGCGCCGCGCGCTCGGCGCAGCCGCGTCCGGAGGGATGGCGGCGGGCGCCGCCGTGTGAGGCCGGAGCGGAGCGGCCCGGCCGCGGCTTCCCCGTCCCCTTTCCGTTTCTCGAGGCGATCCCGGCGCTGCGGCTCCGCCGCGGGCCGCCCCTCCCCTCCCCGCGGCATGAAGGCGGTGCCGGGAGGCGCTGAGGGTGAGTGCCGCCTAGCGGGGCGCGGCCGCTGTGTGGAGGCGTTGGGCGGGCCGGCCCGGCCGGGGGGTTTCCTCACGTCGCGACGTGCGAGGCTCTGCGGGGAGCTGTGTGCGGACGCAGCGAGAGGGCGGCACTGCGCGGCTCCGGAGATCGATGTCGCCGTGCCGGGACAGCCGGAGCCGCCGCACGAAACCGCCGCCGCCGTTGGTTGCGCCGAGTGCCCCGTCCTGCCGGCACGTCGCTGGGCCCGGAGCGACCTCCCACAGCCTGTTTTGTGCTGGAGCTGCGAGAAGTGTCCAAAAGCGTTTAATAAACGTTTGGTTGTTTCATGCGCTTGGATTTGGTGGGGTCGGCGTTAAGTCCGTGACACTGTGTGTGTGTCAGAAAGCAAACCCTTCGGGTTTTGCAGGTGAGGGCTTGCAGGGCCGTTTGCTGTGGCAGTTATGATGCTGCAGGCTCACGTTTGCCTTGGAGTCAGAACTACAGCAGTTTGTGCTGGTGGTGATGTCTGCTGTTTGGTCAAATGCACCTATAGAAAAAATCCTTGGCAAAAAGGGCGAAAAAGCATTGGATTATAATGCTGCTGAAATTCACGTTCCTTTGTGTACGCACTGCCAGAAAAACAAACTCTTTCCCCACGGGACTCTTGTAGTTGATCCATCCAACACCAGAGTTCTGCCCCGTGTCCCCTTTCATCAGGGAGATATCTTCCATAACAGTGGGAATTTCTAAAGTACACCAGAATGAGTTTGTAGAGTCCCACACCGTGTAGATGGGAATCTGTGGGGCAGGGCAAGCATTTGTAAAGGCTGAGCGGGTCCTGGGTTGGTAGGGCTGTGCTATCAGCTCATATTCTCTTTTTTCTACATTTTCTTTGTGGTTTGTCTGACAGAGGCAGAGAAGCTGAATAAGATGAGCACTCTCTTAGAAAGGCTTCACGCAAAGTACAGCCAGAACAGACCTTGGACAGAAACCATGAAGCTGGTCCGTCAAGTCATGGTGAGAAGCGCTGGGCTCTGAGCAGGAGGGCTCTGGAGTTTCCTTTTCAGTGATGCTCACGACTCAGTGTTGGCTCAGTCAGATGTGGCTTTGAAATACTGGCCTTGGTGAGGGTAGAATGGAGCGGGAGGCAGGGAAGAGCATCATCAAAGGCTGCTGTGTGTATTGTGGTGTTAAAAGTTAACCTCTCTTTATTTCTCTGGCTGCTCTCATACGACTCCTAGCTTGTACTGATGAAGAAGTTGTTACGGTCTGGTCTTTCACATGAGCAAGTTGCTTTAAAAAAAATAAATCAATTCCAGACCTGCCTTTGTTACCCGCTGCCAATATGGAGATGATTCTGGTACATGAATCAAAATGAGGATGTAATTTTGGGATCTAATCTGCCTTTAATTACCTGAATAAACCTCACTCGACTGAAGGAAAATTGCAGTAATTTTCTCTCATGGAGTGAAATTTTAAAAGACCATTTTTCTTCTTTCTGACGTAGGAAAAGCGAGTTGTGATGAACTCTGGGGGGCACCAACATCTGGTGAGCTGTTTGGAGACCTTGCAAAAAGCATTAAAAGGTTGGTACATCCTGTGCCTGCACTTAGGAAATGCTTAATAGTGATATACAGTGAAATACTCTACATTAGAGAAACCTGCAAGGTTATTGCTTGCACAGCTCACTGTGTTCGTGGTGCTCACGATTATGTGCTTATTTCTCATGAGTCATTATCAGTGAAGCTTGCCTGTGTTATTTTTATTCTTATTGCCCATACCTGAATTCCACTTGTGGATGAAAATCGACTCTCTCTCATTTCTTTTGAGAATGTTTGTTTTTCTCTACGCAAAATGATTCTGCTTGTTTTTTGAGTGTGGAGTGGGTGTGAGTGGGGAGTTGAGATTGCTTTTATTGCTGATATATCGTTCATGGAGAGATGTTCAGTTGTTTCACTAAGCCTTATTTTTGCTTTCTTTGTCCAGTGTCTTCTCTGCCTGCCATGACAGATCGCCTGGAGTCCATAGCCAGACAAAACGGGTAAGGCTTCTCCTTTGTTTTACAGCAGAAGCCTTTCCTGTTTATCTGTACATCGTAATCTCACTGCTGGTTTGACTGTTTCTTGTGTGCATCTCATAGCAATTTTTGTTTTGTTTTGTATGTAAGCCTTGGATCTCACCTTAGTGCTAACGGCACTGAATGTTACATCACTTCAGACATGTTCTATGTGGAAGTCCAGTTAGATCCTACAGGGCTGCTGTGTGATGTCAAGGTGGCTCACCATGGAGAAAACCCTGTGGTACGTATTACTGAGAGAGACAAGAAAAATGCCTTTGTGTTTGGAACTGCAGTTTTGCTCCCCTTCTGCTTGAGCAGAGAAAATGGATTATATTGAACATTCCACCAAACCTAATGTTATACCTTTGCTGCTTGTTCTGGTGGAAGATCAAAGCTCCCATGGAGTAACCTGTTTCTTGGTTTAATGTTTATTTGTGCAAGGACAGTTTTACTGATGGTTTTCTCTTTTTCTTTGAGTAACGTTACAACTGAAAAAATTATTTGAGGAAGTTACGGGTGTGTTTCTGAAAGTTTCATTTTTGGGGGAAGAATAGGGAAAGTAATCTTACAAAATTTAGCTCTATGAATGGAAAAATACTAAAGTGTGAAGTGTTGTGGTTAAGAAAACGTCTGTAAGAAAATGGCTTTACTTCCCTCCTCCATAGGTGTAGAAGTTTGAATTGGCAGTTTTCATTGATGTAGCTGCTCTTCTGAAATCAGACTGCTTGTAATGTCTGTTATAAAATCATGGGCTTTCAACCTTAGGCATCACAATCCTCAAAAGTTTATTCCAAATTAGTAGTTTAAGAAGAAATAGCATTGCTCTCATCCTGAAGAGGGTTGAAAAGCAGAGCTAGAAACATAGCACTGTGTAGTTGTGAGCATTTGGTTGCTTCTCATCAAAAGCTGATGCTCACAGACTTCACTGTGTTGATATTTTACAGCTACTGTGCTGCACAAAGACTTACACTGATGCATTTGACATTGATATTGCTGTGTGTTCTTTCCTTTTCAGAGCTGTCCAGAATTGGTGCAACATCTGAGGTGAGCAACAAGAGCTGTTGCATGTTCTGATTTTGATCTGATGCGGTTTTGTGTTGGAAACACCAAACATTTCTCAACTGTTCTTTCCCCACAAAGACTCTCCCCTTCTCCAGGAGGTCTTCTGGCTTTGGTTCAGATGTTTCTCATCCTGACTGCTGTGCATGATATCTTGGAAGTCACAGCACAATATTCATCAGAGTCATTAAAGCTGGATCATTTAAAGAATGCGTCACTTAGCTTTCACATGGCAAAAATCTATTCTGAAGTGACCTACTATTTGTATTAATGTAACTTTTAAAAACAAAGCCTTATCTGCAACAGATCTGAATAAATGCTACTTTTTCTCCCTTTTATTTTCAGAGAGAAAAATTTTGATGAATTTTCTAAACATCTAAGGGGGCTTGTGAACCTGTATAAGCTGCCAGGAGACAAGTAAGTCTAGAATATGCAATGTATTTATTTATTATTTAAAGTGAACAAGCCTTCAAGCTTGTAGTTCTGTGTGTAACTTTTCACTGTTCCTGCTGTTCCTTGATCGTGCTGACTTCATTCCTGTGTCTTGCATGGTACACAGTGGATGAGGAGTATTGATCTCACAGTGGGAATGCAGATTGAAAAGTTAACATTTCAGAATGCTTTATCTATGGAATGTGCTGCAGCTTCTCAGCCAGCACTTCCGGGAGTTCCATTTTTTTTGTATGGTTCTTTTTAATTTTTCTTACGGTTTCTTCTTTTTCCTTATTTTATTTCCAGCAAACTCAAAACTAAAATGTACTTGGCTCTTCAGTCCTTGGAGCTAGATCTCTCAAAAATGGCAGGGATGTATTGGTAAGCACATTGCTACGATTTGCTGCTTGTTTTGTTGTACTGCTGTATCACGTTGGCTGATTGTTAATCATGCTAGGCACTGTATATCCATGAAGTATCGTAGCAATGCCTATATATTGTGGCACTATTGCTAACAAGTACAACACTGAAGTTTAAGAAAGACTGTGCTAGTAGAGGAGAGTGATAAAGAGAGACTGAAATTATTGCTCAGAGCTTTCTGGAATTTACCAGTATCCTTTTTAACTACAGAATTCAACTGAAAAAAGTCTATAAAACAAAAAAAATATTCATAACTAGATGAATTAGTGATAATGATATTTTACAGTCAAAAATGGAGCTGCATTTCTTCATCTTTTACTGCTGTAGAATCAGGAGATGAACCGTCTGTGCTGTAGCAATAAGAAGTGACTTCTGCTTTGCCTGTAACTGTGTGAAGTTTAAGATAGGTGGCTGAGCATTGAGTATATATTGAGTTAAGATCTTCAGACTTCCATCAGCACGAGTTGTGGCTTCAGATGTGGTTTTGGCTCATTACAAACTGGTGATGGCCTCTCTTGCAGGCAAGCCACCAACGCAAACCCACTGGACAAGATTCTTCATGGCAGTGTTGGCTATCTCACCCCGAGGAGTGGAGGTATCTTTGATTAACATTTAAAAAAGAAAGGAAAAGATGATTTTGTCCAGGGTTCCCTTTAATATCATCAGTTAATGTTAATGATGAAAAATGCAACTCAGAGAAG